GGAGGGAAGAGGGGGGTGGGGGGGATAGTGCAATGCACTCCCCTTTCCAAGGCCACTTGTGCTGCTACACATTCAAAGAACAAAATGAAGAAGAAAAGAAAAGAAAAATAAAAAATAAACAAGTGGCACCTGGCAAAACAGTCAATTCTTGTTCTCATGATTTTCATTGTTCAATTTCCTCTCCTTTTTTTGGCACTATGACACATGGCAGGGTACGTTTTTGTTTTTTTAAATCTCGCTGTGCGGACAGGCAGGGGTGAAATGATCATTTGAGTCGACAGTTCCCTTAATTGACTACATCCTCACAATGCTAACGTGGAACTAAACACGGTGTCTTGTGTAAAGGGAAGACGGGGGACGCTTCAGGACAACCGGGGGGCAGAGGTAGAGGGGAGTGCCGTGTTCTCTTTGTGTCATCGAACTTTAAGTCACTGGTGGATACGTGCAGTCTAATCATCAGAGATGGAGAGGCGGCTGAAGATGGGGAGGCGGCGGGTGGTGTCCAGCGTGGGGGACTCAGAGCCACTCAGGCTGCCTCCAGAGCTGCTCTGGTAGCCCTCTTGGTCTGACAGAGAGTCGGGAGGGCTGGAGGGAGACTCGAACATCTGAGGGGACTCCAACATGGGTCTGAAATAGTAAGGCGTTGGAGAAGTGGGTGCAGGGGTGTTGGGCTCTGTGCCTACAGGGCCGGCACTGAGGCTGGGCCCAAACAGGTTGGCCAGCTCCTGGCTGGAGTAGGTGAAGGGGTTACTGCTGGGCCAGTCGGGGACCTCATCGGGGAAGAACATGGGTGGAGGGGTGACGGAGGTGGGGCTGTCCCTCAGCCCAACTGAGCTGGAGAAGCCTGCGAAGCTGTAGCTGTGCTGCAGCCGAGGCCTTTCCATCTTGTTGGAAGAGTTAAGAGGGGAGGACTGCTGGGGGGGTCCACGGCGCTCCTCGGCATTGTGGATGAAATGGCAGCGAGGCCCGTACGGGCAGAATCCGATGGTGTGGAAGGTGCGGCACAGCTCAGTTTTGTATTTGGGATGGCGGCTCAGGCTGCGCAGTTCATGGATCCCGTGAGCAAACTGGCATTTGTCGCCGTACTTGCAGGAACCGTTCTCCTCGAAGGGCCTGCAAAGCTCCGTCTTGTAACGGCTGGAGTTCACTTGGCTGCCGCCGTTGGTGGGGCTGGCGGGGCCCAGGCACTTGTTGAGGAGCCTCTCGCCAGTCTCAGAGAAGGAGCGGTCTCGCAGGCGGTTCTCCTTGTTGTTGCTGGCGTTGCCAACACCTGAGATGAGTGAGGAGTGGTCCGCTGCCTTCAGGCTGTTCAGAAACTGGTTCTGGCTGAACTTTGTGCTGCTGACAGAGTGCCGCCGCTGGTACACGCCCCCCACGGAGGGAGATCCCACCGCCTTCCTGTCCAGCAGGGCTCCGGCGGGGCTGGAGAGGGGCACATTGGTGCCAGTGCAAGGGACAGACATTGGATGGGGAGCACCCAGGTTGTTGTTGTAGCTGAGCAGTTTGTTGTTCTGCAGAGACACAAAGAAACACATATCATTAACACATATTCCACAAAACACCGACAGTTTAAGGAGCGAGAGCAAACCCACAGCCTCCTCATGCATGACTGTGTTCTTTTTGGCTCTGACATGAGCGGATACAGGCCTATAGAACAGCAGCTGGTTTGGCAAGTTGCCCTGGTGAGGAATGTGTGCCTGTTTAGTAAATGGAGCAGCAGCACATGAGAGGCCAGCGGGCTGCTAGTGGCTACAAAAGGGGGCTGCATCATTTGAAAGATAAAGTGGCAAAGCATCCTGCTGAAAATTACAAGGGAGAAAAAAAAAAAAAAAACCTCATCTGCTTTTTCAGTCCACGTCCAACAGAGTGTGGAGGAGATGGCGGGTTTAGTCACTGATTTACATGAGTGTTAAAAAAGCTGCCAGAGAGTCAAATGTGAAGAAATCTTGACACTGAAAACATGGACGTGTATGCAAACGGCAACAGCGCGTGGCGTTAGCTAACCGTACAGCCGTTGGGAAGTTATGTCCAAACGGTTAAATCGTTTAAATAAAACGGGTTTATAGGTGCAACAGTAAAAAAAGTAATAATAATAAAAAAAAAAAGAAGGTACAAGCAAGGCTCTGGTCAATGATTATTGAGCATGTGGCTGCTTTGTGAGGAGCATTATAAAAAAAAAAAAAAAAAGTGGCGCAAAACTGCCCTCATTTAAAGAAAGATAGCATGAATTAACTGAAAGTAACGGCCGTTCGCCACTGAAACTGCGCTGTAGCCGCTGCGTACAACTATTTAACCGTTAAACCCACAGCTGATGTGGCACAGACAAACAACAACAAAAGTAACCGTTAAAAGTTACACTTCTGGAGGCAGTTTACAACGCCGTAAGGGGAAGGGGGTGAACGTTTTTAGACGTGGCGACACACACAACATACAAAAATAAGCCGGAAGTCAAACAAACAAAACAAGACAAAACA